AGCACTTTGGGAGGCCAAAGCAGGCAAATCACTTGAGGCCAGGAGTTCAAGACCAGCCTGGCCAGCATGGTGAAACCCTAGCTCTACTAAAAATAGAAAAATTAGCAGGACATGGTGGCGCATGCCTGTAATTTCAGCTACCTGGGAGGCTGAGGTATAGAAACTGCTTAAGCCCAAAAGGCAGAGGTTGCAGTGAGTCAAGATCATATCATTGCACTCCAGCCTGGGTGACAGAGGGGAACTCTGTCTCAAAAAACAACAACAACAACAAAAAAAAACAAAAAACAAAAAAACAAAAAAAACCCCCCACGAATTATATATCTGACTTATGCTTAAAAACATCTCTGGCTGCTAGTGGAAGATGGATTGAAGAAAGGTAAAAAATGTAAACAGGGAGACCAATTGAAAAGTGATAACTTTATTTTATTCTTATTTTAATTTTTATTCTTATTTTTCCCAGTTGGCTTATGAATTATTATTCGCAGTCTTACTCATTGTAGCCTTCCATGAATTATGTTTTTTTGAGACAGAGTCTCACTCTGTTGCCCAGGCTGGAATGCAATGGCGTGATCTCAGCTCACTGCAACCTCCACCTCCTGGGTTCAAGTGCTTCTTCTGCCTCAGCCTCCCAAGTAGCTGGGATTACAGGTGCCCACCACTACACCCGGCTAATTTTTGTATTTTTAGCAGAGCTGGAGTTTCACCATGTTGGTCAGGCTGGCCTCAAACTCCTAACCTCAGGTGATCTGCCCACCTCAGCCTCCCAAAGTTCTGGGATTACAGGGATGAGCCACCATGTCCAGCCGCCTTCAATGAATTTATATGATTCCATTTACCTTAATTGTAAGAATTTGACAATGTGATTTTTTAGTATATTTTACTTCTGCATATATTGTAAGCCACACTTTTACATAATTACTTTTAAGGATAGCCACATATTTCTATGATGCTCTTCATTCCTAAAAAAACTGTTTACGCAGTTTTCATTCAGTTTCAAAGGGCTTCCTTGAACATTTCTCATAATAGAGGTCTGCTGGTGATAAATTATCTCAGCTTATGGCTATCTTTTAAAAGTCTTTATTTTGTCTTCAGTTTTTGAAGTAGATTTTCATTGGATATAGAATTTTCAATAAGTTTTTCTTTTTGTTTCAACACTTTAAAAATGTCATTCCATTGTCTTCTAGCTTTCATTGTTTCAGATAAAAAGTCATCAATAATTATATTTTTGTTCCTCTGTATGTGTGTGCCTGGCTATTTTCAAGATTTTTCTTTTTTTTCTCCCACAGCACTTCTGCTGTGCCTTTCTCAGATTTTTCTATATGTCTTTGGAGTTTAGCAATGTGACTACAATGTGCCTTGGTGTTGTGTTTGTGTTTTTACTTCTTGAGGTTTGTAAGTTTCTTAGATCTGTGGGTTGATCTTTTTCATCAAATGTAGGGGGAAATGGTCATTTGGTCTTCATGTACTTTTCTGACACAATTTCTCTTTCTCTCCTGAGACCATTTTTTATTATTCCACAGTTCCCCAGGACTTTTAACTTTCTGTGCTTTATTTTCTTTGCTCTTTTCTGCAGTGTCCAAGCTGCTGTTAAACCCATTCAATAGATTTTTTTACTTTTAGATATCATAATTTTTTCTTTTAAAATTTTCATTTCATCCTGTTTATAATTTCTACTTCTGTGCTCATATTTCTCATTTCTTCACCTATTATGTCTGTTTTTTTTCTTTAGTTCTCAACATATTTTAACGTCCTTAAATACTAATTCCAACAACTATGTTATCTCTGGGTCTGTTTCTTTTTATTGTTTTTTCTCCCCTTGGTTATGGGTCTGTTTCTTTGCATAGCCAGTGATTTTTTTCATTGTGCACTAGACATTGTAGATTCTACAATTTGCAAGACTGGATTTATTCATCTTCCTTTGAAGAGTGTTGAGTTTTATTCTGTGGTGAATTGAGTTTTATTCTGAGGTGATTACTTTACTCACAATTACCTTGATCCTTTGAAGTTTGATTTTAAAATTTGTAGGTGGGGTATAGAGTAACTTTTATTCTAGAACTAGAATAGCCATATTCATAAGATCTGCCTTTTGTGGATCTCAATTAAATGCCCAGTATGTTCAATGAGCTCTCTCTTTTCTGGCTGGTCAGAACTCCAATGTCTTCCTGCTCTGTTTAATTTCTGGAACCTCACAGTTTCTTAGTAAGTATTCTCTGCTAGGGCTCACAGATTCTTGTCCTGTGCATGCACAGTTTAGTGTTCAGCTAAACATTCAAGAAGACTTCTATGCATATTTCTGGAACTCTCTCTATGTACAGCTCTTTCTCTCCGGTGCCCAATACACAAATTACAGCCACCTCAGCAACCTTAAACTCCAACTTCTACCTCATCAGCTCTGAGAGATAATTGTCCTCTGCTTAAGCTACCCATTTCTATACCACAGAAGGTTCTTCCAGGCAGAAATATCAAGGTGATTATGTGCTGACATAGTGTGTTTTCCTTTTCTCAGGGGTCACATTTTTCCCCTGACAGTTGTCTAAAGTGTGAAAACTTTTACTTCAGTTTTACATGTGTTTATAGAAGGAGGACTAGTCTGGTACTAATTACCCCATCATAGCTGAAAGTGGAAGTCTCCAGTATAACTTAATAATTTATTTTCAATAGTTCATACTTCTCTCTTAGATGGCTATAGATTTACCTTTGAGAAATGAGATATTTCTGAAAAGGTGTGTGAAGTTACATGTATTTTATAGACAAAAAGCGTGGCCACGGCAATGTTTGTAATTCAAAGTGTTGCTTACAAACTCTAGTGTAATGCTTTTCCTTTAAGTGTGGTTGGTTGTTTTTGTATCTTTGTGTAAGTGAGAGTAACAGTGAGAGAAAATGAGGAGAAGGGGAAAAGAGACATCAAGCAAATATAAAAGAAGAGAAGACACACTGGAACGGTCTCAACCTTTACTTTTAAAAATTATATTCAGCAGGCTGGCTGCGGTGGCTCACACCTGTAATCCTAGCACTTTGGGAGGCCAAGGTGGGTGGATTGCCTGAACTCAGGAGTTCCAGACCAGCCTGGGCAACACAGTGAAACCCCGTCTCTACTAAAATGCCAAAAAAAATTGGCCGGGTATGGCGGTGTGTGCCTGTAATCCCAGCTACTCCGGAGGCTGAGGCAGGAGAATCATTTGAACCTGGGAGGCGAAGGTTGCAGTGGGCCAACATAGCGCCACTGCACTCCAGTCTGGGGCGACAGAGTGAGACTCCATCTAAAAAAAAAAAAAGAAAAAAATATATATATTCAGCATAAAAGTCATTTAAAACTGAAAAAAAAATGTATAAACTCTTATAATATTAGCTAAAATGTTGAATGCTTGTCATGTGCCAGGCTTTGTTCTAAGTGCTTCATATACTTTAACTTATTAAATCTTCACAACAGCACTTTATGGCAGGTGCCTGCTTTATCTCCATTTTACGGATTATAAAACTGAGATGGTGTAACTTGCTCAAGGCCCATGGTTAATAGGCAGAAGTTGACATTTGATCCCAGGTGATCTGCATCCCAAAAATCCACATTTTTAACCTCTATGCTGCCTTCATATTAGAGAAGCATCTTGTTATTGTCTCCCACACCAATCCTCTGTGCCCAAACTAAAAAAAAAAAAAAAAAAAAAAATTACCTGGGTATGGTGGCAGGCGCCAGTAATCCCAGCTACTTGGAAGGCTGAGGAAGGAGAATTACTTGAACCCGGGAGGCGGAGGTTGCAGTGAGCCAAGATTGTACCATTGCACTCCAGTCTGGATGGCAGAACAAGACTCTGTCTCAAGTAAAAATAATAATAATAAAGAAAAAGGAAAAAAAATCCGGGATAAGTTCTGTTAAACTAGACATCACTGGGATTTGGTGCTGGTGAGAGATGCTTGGCAATTAAAGAGATGCACACTCTATTGATCCACTGATTTTTCATACTGGGCTCTTTGAGCATCTTCCATTCATCAGCTTCAGTCACCAGTACTGTCTTTTGATGGTCAAGTGACTTTCAAATATAGACAAAAGTTAATGAGTGACTCAGGGAGATTTTTCAGTGCCTCGCTTCTTAGTCGGAACTGCTTGAGAAACCAGATGATGACAATTGTGATGACCCATCTTTTGGAGTTGGAAAACACTGTCTCCCTGAAATACTAGTAATTCACACCAGCAGACTTTCAGCCTTGTTGCGCTTCTGACTTTGGGACGGTAAGATTGGGAGGGCAGATACGGATCCACACGAGAGGCATGGAGTGTTTCTAGGATGTTTGTTTCCTCATCTTTAGCTGAGAGTTGAGATATCCTTAGGATGAACTTTTCCCATGATCTTTGAGATTTCAGGAAAGAAAGAGATAGCAGATTGCAGGCTATTATGATGGCAAAATAATTTCTCTTTGGCCACCACACAGTTGTTCCCTGAGTCACAAACTACTCAATTCAGTAGCTGTCGAACTAAACTGCCTTTGAAATTCAGAGGAGAGTCTGTGTATGCCAAAACCAAGTCCCTGAGTCACCCAGCGCACAGCAGGAAGACAGCAGTGAACAGGGTCAGAAGTGGTGCCAGAATCCACCCCTTGCAGCGAGTGTGGACCTTCAAATGCCCGTTCTACAGGAATCATCCCAGGTCATAAAATCTCATGTCCTTGCAGACAGGAGATACCATTGTCTGTTCCCTCTACTGTCTGCAAGGTTCGTGATTAGTGAATCATCTCCCTAAGTATCTTTTTACGTGGACTGAGCCATGTATTATGAAGAACCTATTTTATTTGTAATATCTAAGGAAACTGCATTAGACATTATAGTTTATGAACAAAATAGGTGGTGTTTGTATTTGGAAATGTAACATTTTACTAGGAAGACCTGGATTTGAACAGATCTACCTGGGCCTATTATAGAACAAAAAACTTGGTGTCTTTTTTCTCTGGTCACCACAGTTCTGCAATTATTCTATATAATTGTTGTTTTCTTTTCTTTTTGGAAGGAGTCTCCTGTTGAAGAAAGAATCTAAAGAAATACATAAGTTCCAGGGAATTTTCCTCTAAGACTAATAACAACAAGATAGCTTTGCCTTTATTTATTTATATTCGTTATTTTTTACACATGAAAAATACGTGTCTTCTTCAGAGATCCTGGGTTAGAATTTTTTATTTTCCTTGTCCTGATTGAAGAAGAATCTCAAACACTGATGCTGTTTTTTATTATTTCAAGAAGAATTTTGGATGGTGCTTGACAACTTATGCCTTCTATAAAAAGAAGAAATATTCTTTTACACTCTGTATATTAAAGATATTGTCCAACTGACATTTCACCAAACAAAGAAATCGAGCCACCTTGCGCTGTACATTTTTGTTTAAATATTTGGGAGCTATTGTTTTCAGAGTCATCCATGGTAATAATGGCCAACTCAAAAAATGTCCTACTGAAGGGTCGATTAAATATTGGCTCAGTTTCCACATTTGTAGCCCATGTCTTCCCTCCTTTTAGTTCTTCCCAAAACAAGGCAGGGTATGCCTCCCACTCAGAAACTACTTGCAAAATTCCATATCATAAGATGCTGAGCTTGAAATTACGAAACATCATCATCAGTTTCTGAGGACTTCAGAACTAGAAGTCAAACAGAAACTTCATGGTTTAGGAACCAAGGACCTGAAATACAACTTCTAAGCTGGATTGGTATTGGTTCCAAGGTTAAAAATAAAGGACCACAGTTTTATTGTCTTTGAATGTAACATATTCCACATGAACGTCAATAGGGCTCAGACATGCACTGAAGGCAGACAAAGGGTAAATAAATTAAACTGAAGTGACTCAGAAGGCACTTAAGGAGCAAAGATGTGCGGAAGTAACAAGAGACTTCGTTTTTAAGGACAACCCTATTTAGAACTCAAGGGAGAGAACCTAACTGGAAAACTCAAAGAACCATAGTTCCAAAATGAATTTAACTTACAACCTTTCTCAACAGCCAGGAAAAACACACACACACATATATATATATATACACACACACACACACACACACACAGATTGGTATCTATATTTTGGAAGTTCCTGAGCACTTATGCATTCAAGCCAATGCACTTTTTTTTTTTTTTTTTTTTTTTTTTTTTTTTTTTGAGACGGAGTCTCCTTCTTGTTGCCCAGGCTGGAGTGCAGTGGCGTGATCTCGGCTCACTGCAACATCCTCCTCCCGGGTTCAAGCGATTCTCCTGCCTCAGCCTCCCAAGTAGCTGGGATTACAGGCACCCACCACCATGCCTGGCTAATTTTTTTGTATTTTTAGTAGAGATGGGGTTTCACCATGTTGGCCAGGCTGGTCTCAAACTCCTGATTTTGGGTGATCTGCCCACCTCAGCCTCCCAAAGTGTTGGGATTACAGGTGTGAGCCACCACTCCCAGCCACACTTTTCCTTTCAAACCAACAGAATAGCTGGATCATGTATGCTAAGAATGTCCAGACTAAAATATGTCAATGAGACTTTGAGACCTTCCTGCATCTCACTTAACAACTTGCTTCTTGGAACATCTTCCTGTGAGGGCAATGAGTTACTACTGAAGCTCGTCTTTGTAGAATTTTTTTTTTATCAGCCTTTATTTGCTTTTCAAACCTTGCTGCATTTTTCCTGTACCAGGACAAGGCCCAGTTGTCCATTGACTTTTGTGAAGGCATCCATGGGAGGTTTTGAAGTCCACTGGTTAAAAGGGAAAACTGCTTTTGTGTTTGATCAGTATAAAGGTAGTTAGAAACAATGCTGAGTCACTTTAAAGCAGCTGCATTGCAAACCAAGAGAAAGGACTTTATCATTGGCTTTGTAGTCAGCAAATCTGGGTCCTGGCCTTTGCTGCATCGAGAGCAGGCCTCTCAATGTCTGTAAGTTTCATCTACCTTTTCTTTAAACACCACCATTATTAAGCATTTACTACGTACCAACCACTATATTCAGCCTTTTATTCACTTAAACCTCACAACAACCCTATGGAGTAAACAGTATTATCATCCCCGTTTTATAGATGAGGAAACTGAGGCTCAGAAAGACTATAAAGCATGCTCAGTGTTACACAGTGAGGAAATTAGAGAAAAAAGATTCGAGTTCTCATCAGTCTGACTTCAGAGTCTGATCTCTTATCTACTCTGAAAGGGGCTAATAATAACATCATTTATTGACACTGAGGATCAAAAGAGATAATGTTTGTAAAAGCTCCGAAGTCACATACACATATAACATGTTATAATGAAATCACTTAAGAAAAGAGAAAACTAAGAAATAGTTACATGTCATGGTCATGGAAAAGTACATTCAAATGCCTATAAACCAGAACTTACTAGTTCTGTGTAAACCAAATCCTGAATACCTTATTTTTCTTGACAGTACCCCACTGAAATACTAAATATGATATGTTACATAAATCAGGCAGGATGGATGGCCACTTTATTTTACATTGATTCCGTCTTTAGAAGGCTGAGCAGCCTAAAAGACAATGAGAACTCTGGTCCATGTGTTACCTGTGAGCTGAGCTGCACTGGTTTGCTAATTTGCTTATGTTATAAAGACATCTGCACAGAAGTTCAGCCTTAACTCCCAGGAACAATAATGTAGGTTACCAATAATGTAGAAAGTATTGTTTACTTGTAGGGTATAAGAGGATCAGAGGCTATGAAAAGGAGACACAATGTTCCTTAAATCACCACCACAATAAAGCATGCACAATATCAAGTTAATCTTACTTTTACTGTTAGCAGGTAGTGCAATAAGTAGAAGAGAAGGATGAAGGTTGGCTGCATCAGGGAGTCAACAAGAGCCCCTTAGTCATTGGCAGGAGGGCTGTGGTTGCATGGGTCAACCAGATGGAGTCTCTTGTGCAAATATGCCTCTGGACAGAGTCAAGCAACTGACGTGCTTTTTCCTAGTTCCCATAGTACTGATGGAATGGATTGAACTGACTGATTATTTTAGGGTTGTGTAGACAGAAATGAATATAAATAAGAGGTAGAACAAGAGCAAAGGGACTGTGGTCACTCAGTACGTCTCAACATGAAATGGAAACCCATGCTGTGGTTACCAGATGTTGAACCCTTTTGGGAGGCTGGGGACTGAAAACTTGGACTTCATGCTTATATCCCTGATAAAGAAATATTTTCAGCTGGGCACAGTGGCTCACACCTGTAATCTAAGCACTTTGGGAGGCTGAGGTGGGAAGATCACTTGAGCCTAGGAGTTCAAGACCAGCCTGGGCAACATAGCGAAACCCCCTCTCTACAAAAAATAAAAAAGCTTGCTGGGCATGTTGGCAAGTGCCTGTGGTCCAGCTACTCCGGAGGCTGAAGTGGATCACTTGAGCCCAGAAGACTGAGGCTGCAGTGAGCCATGATCGTGCCACTGCACTCCAGCCCAGATGACAGAGTGAGACCCTGTGTCAAAACAAAAACAAAAACAAATATTTTCCAAATTCGTAAACTTATTCGTGACAATAATTCTCCAACTAGAAATGGAGATATTTGGGCTGAAGGATATCTTTTTTCCCAAATTACAAGCCTGTTGATGGAAAAAGGTTTTCAGAGTTAAAAACATGCATCACACTTCGTGCATGTTTAATCATTTACTTTTACTCTAAAAGAATGACATTTTCTGAAATTGAGGTTGCACTAAAAAAATCCACACTGAATGGTCTTAATCCTTATAGCTTATCTTAACTGATCTGCATCTGCTGAGTTGTTACTAAAGTGCCTCCTGTCACAGGTTTGGCTGAGTCACAGAATCGGTTATGTAGCTGATGCACCAGCTTTTTCCCCTTTTGTCCAAAAATAGGAAAGGGTTTGCACCCTAAATGATTTGAAGTGGTTTCGTAAAGCTGCACAGGCTCTGTCATTCAAGGGGGTAATATAGAGATGGATTACCCTGGGGAGAGAGACGGGATGACAGAGCTGAAGGAATTGCATCCCATGTAGGGAATAAGGAGTTATATCTTTTAGATCTCTACTGATCCCTGTTGACTTCCCAGACACTCTGTGGCCCCCAACTACGCAATAATAGGTTTTATTATTTAAAGTTGAAGTCTTACTTTGGGAGGCTAAGGTGGGAGGAGTGCTTGAAGACAGGAGTTCAAAACCAGCATGGGCAATTAAAGCAAGATCTCCATTTCTACAAAACATAAAATAAAATAAAAAAATTTTTTTACTTAAAAACAACAGTTGGACTTTGGAGTCTCACTTTCATTTTATCAGTCAGAGTATTGAGAATTAGTTTTAGAAGAAATAGAAGAGCTATATATAGATAAAGTGATAAGGAAGGTAACCAGATTTTATAAAGAAAAGAACTACAACTAATTGATAGAATCTGCATTTTTTTTTTTTTTTTTTTTAGTTTATTTCTGCTCTTTAAGAATTTGCAATTTTTTGGAAAGATGATATTGTGGACTTATTATCCCAACCTCCTGTCCCCTTGATTTTACTGGTTTATGCACTTTGAAGAGAAAAGAGAGCATGAATAAGGAATCAACACGTGAGAAATGAAGAAATTAATCCCCTTAGGAATTTTGTGTGTGGGGGATTATAAGAATACATAATCGAGGTAAGCCCAAACCAAAAGGGCTTATTAAAAAAACCATTTTCAAAAGGCAACCACATGAATTTTAACAGCGATGGCAACTACAGTTCTACAAGGTTTATGGTCAAAACTTTTTTTTTTTTTTTTTTTAAATCTCAACTTTATTAATGATTAACAGGTCCCATTTATGATGCCAAAAAGAAGTTTTTCAGCAGCCATTTTGTGGGCCTCAATAATACCAATTACAATATCAACAAAAAGGAGAAATAATGTTGCTCAAGTAATGTTTTAAGCCCAACTGGTTAACAAAATTCAGGTGTATGGTTTTTAGATCTTGTGACTGAAGCTTTGTTTTCTACGTTTGAATCTGGAGAAAGAGAAAATAATCAATTTAAAATGACTTAAAATGCAGGATTCCATGAAGGTCTTCCTTTATCAGTATAGCTTTAGTAGCTGTTGGAGAAATCAGCTAACATTTATTAGAGCTTCTGATTCAATCACATTTTTAACTCTTTCTAGTTAGCCATTAGCCATTTGAAAGAATGATAAGTAAAGCCTTAAGGATTTTTTTTTTTTTTTTGCATATTCCTCAAACAACATGAGTTAAAAAAAAAAAATCTGGTTTTTTTTTTTTTTTGTCTTGTGAAATGATCAGCAATTTTTAAAAAGGCTTCAGCAAAATATAATTGAACAAATCTTATGTTTAACAGATTAAACCATTTCTGCATTCAGTTTTCTTGTCTGAAAAGAATTACATTTAAAGAGTAATTCAGCAATGTATTTTTAAAAGCCCAAAAACATTTTTATTTCTGGCTTTTAAATTTTTGTATAAAGGGGGTAAAACACTTTTATTTGTTCATAAAAACATGAGGGGAAAAAAGAGGCAGAAATTCACATTTTCCTGCCTATAAATACCAAATTAAGAAGATCTGTGGTGAGGTTTTTAAAAAAATTAAAAGTAAAGCCCTGGTAAGTTTGAAAATATGTATGTACAGCTCTGGATCACCACTGCATAAAATGCCACAGGATTTCTGGAAGCCCTCAGATGCAAGCCATCAGTGAGGTTACATGTGGAAAATAGTAAGAATTACAATTCAAAATGTAGTTTTTAAAAAAAACAAACAAAAGAAAACCCAAAATGCAATTTCAAAAACGATAGTCCTCCCAAGCCTTGTT